TTGTGCCCTCCATCTTTCCCAACATCAGGGTCTTTTCCAAGGAGTCTTCTCTTCTCATGAGGTGGCCAAAGTCTTGGAGCCTCAGCTTCAGGATCTGTCCTTCCAGTGAGCACTCAGGGCTGATTTCCTTCAGAATGGAGAGGTTTGATCTTCTTGCAGTCCATGGGACTCTCAAGAGTCTCCTCCAGCACCAGAATTCAAAAGCATCAATTCTTCGGCGATCAGCCTTCTTTATGGTCCAGCTCTAATTCATTAGAGGTTTTAAAGCAGAGGTTGGGTGGGCATTTGACAGGGATTCTTTAGCTCTGATTCCTGCTTTGCAGGGGGTTCAATTCTGTGATTTGATGACACGTCTTGGGCTTTCAGCAGGGCCTTGAATTTAGCAGGGAAACAAAGACACAGCCAGCCAAGATCTCTTTAAACATCAGCGTCACACGACCCGTGAGACCTTCACCAGTTAATAACTGCATTTAGGGCCCAATGATTTTCCGAAATGATCTTCAAGAGTAGCCCCACGTAGAGTTCATTACAATGTGCTCATCTTTACCAAGGCATGTATAATGGGATAATAAACCCTTGGCGGACCATCGTCCAGCTGTCACTAATGTAACAGCTGACAACATTCGCAGATGTGGATGATGGCAGCCTTGCAGGTTTAAAATGCAAACTTAACCAGTGCTGGGGAAGAGGGCATTTTCTAGAAAATCTTCCACTGCTATATTTTCCAAAAATCCGCGCCCGCCCCCCTCCCCCCACATTTTGGAAAAATAATTTTCATAAGTTAAAATTAGTGACATAGCAAACAATACAAGCCTAGGCAAGTGGAACCGATAAATGTCAGTTAGTTGTAGAATAAAAAATTCAATTAGCTAATTTATTAACAAAAACAGTGAAAGCGTAACCAGGGGTGGGGGGGGGGCAGAAAAGAATCAAAAATTTAAATCATAAAGGCATCACAGATTGGAAGGACAAAAGTACAAAGTTCCAATCACAGATTGGAAGGACAAAAGTACAAAGCTACGGTGTAGCTACAAAGAGATACTGAAGTACTGACTCATGCAAATATTCCCCTTACAAATAATAAAGATTTATTTAAAAAAATAAAAATGTTCTCTACTTCTAAGTTCCATTATTATTGAGAATAAAGGATCTAAAAGACATTTGCATTTACTGGTGGCGATGAGTGAACATTTGCTGCAATATCTGTATGAGAATAAAAACCATGCCATATATATATATATATAGTCATTTGAGATTTGCCCTAAATGTATCTAATTTAGTTTAATATCTCTCCAAAAAGGGCAATTTGCCAAAGCCTTGAATACCAACAATCCAGATTATTAAGATTTTTTTAATAATAATAATAAAAAACCCTTGCAACTACCGGTAATTTTTTTCAGGTGACTTTTTCATGAGGAAGGAAATTGGAAAAATTCTTGAGATATTTTTACAGCGTATAGAATTAATGTAGGCTAGTGTCTGGCTATGTTGTAAAGTGGACCTTTTGAAATCAATGGTCTTGATTAGTCAAGAGTCGAACTGTGTACACACAATGCCTTTTAAAAAAAATATCAGAGCACATCCTTTCCCTCAAAGGCGTATGGGCACTAAAGTTTACCCCTCATAAGAGTAGCAGTTCCAAGCAACCTGTAACAAACTACAGCGCCCAGAATTCTTTGAGGGTGAAAAATCTGCTTTGAATGTGCTTTAAAGGTGCAGTGTGAACTCAGACCAAGCGTTTGGCTTGGCTGGATACGAGCCATAGCAAACAAAGAAATAATAATAATATAATAATAATTTATTATTTGTATCCCGCCCATCTGGCTGGGTTTCCCCAGCCACTCTGGGTGGCTTCCAACAAAGATTAAAAATACATTAAAATGTCACACATTAAAAACTTCCCTGAACAGGGCTGCCTTCAGATGTCTTCTAAATGTCAGGAAGTTGTTTATCTCTTTGACCTCTGATGGGAGGGCGTTCCACAGGGCAGGTGCCACCACCAAGAAGGCCCTCTGCCTGGTTCCCTGTAGCTTTGCTTCTTGCAATGAGGGAACTGCCAGAAGGCCCTCGGCGCTGGACCTCAGCGTCTGGGCTGGACGATGGGGGTGGAGACACTTTTTCAGGTATACAGGACTGAGGCCATTTAGGGCTTTCAAGGTCAGCACCAACACTTTGAATTGTGCTCGGAAACGTACAGGGAGCCAATGTAGGTCTTTCAAGACCGGTGTTATGTGGTCTCAGCGGCCGCTCCCAGTCACCAGTCTAGCTGCCGCATTCTGGATTAGTTGTAGTTTCCGGGTCACCTTCAAAGGTAGCCCCACGTAGAGCGCATTGCAGTAGTCCAAGCGGGAGATAACCAGAGCATGCACCACTCTGGCGAGACATTCTGCGGGCAGGGAGGGTCTCAGCCTGCGTACCAGGTGGAGCTGGTAGACAGCTGCCCTGAGATTTGGTGGCTAAGAGGCTGGGCGACAAATTAGGAAACCCCAGGTTCAGACCTCTGCCATGAACTTTGCCTCAGGTGGGCTCAGTTGAAGCCCCCTCTGAGTCACAGACACACACACCCCACCTCTGTAATAGGAGGGGTCACAGTGCTGGCCTACCTTGAAGGCCCTTGTGTTTGCCTGTAAAGCACCATTAAGTATTGTTCTTGTTATTTCTAGGTTATTCAGCTCAGAAAGCTTTTCCCCTGGCAGTTCGTCAAGCAGTTCGTCTGCAAACGCTACCAAAAATCCTCGATCGCAACCGCGAGTTTTCCCAGGTGTGTAGAAAAACATTCCCCACGCCTACTCTCCTCCTTTCTCTCTGCACTGAGAATTACAGGAAGGACCTGCACATCTCCTGGCTGAGTCAGACCCATCAAGCACAACGTCATACTGTTCTCACTATGGCCCAATATTAGCTCCAGGGAGATTTTCAAGAAGACGAAAATAGGGAGATCTGCCTCCAACAAGGATGCCCTTCCCTTCCTCCTGGAATTTGGGTGGTCCTTGTGACTCCAGAATAATAATATACAGTGGTACCTCGGGTTAAGTACTTAATTCATTCCGGAGGTCCATTCTTAACCTGAAACTGTTCTTAATCTGAAGCACCACTTTAGCTAATGGGACCTCCTGCTGCCGCCGCGTCACCACCGCCTGGTTTCTGTTCTCATCCTGAAGCAAAGCTCTTAACCCGAGGTACTATTTCTGGGTTAGCAGAATCTGTAACCTGAAGCGTACGTAACCCGAGGAACCACTGTAATAATAATAATTATTATTTATTATTTGTACCCCACCCATCTGGCTGGGTTTCCCCTGGGCTAGCTGGCTGAATTGGTCCTACTTGGGCCAGCGAGGAGGCCAGGGGAGAATTAGCTGTGGGGTCTCAGAGCAGGTAATCTTCATAAAAGGGGAGGGGGAGGGAAGGGAAATAAAAGATCAGGCTGAATTCAGATTGAAAGCCAGGCGGAATAGCTCTGTCTTACAGGCCCGGTGGAAGGAGGTTAAATCCTGAAGGGCCCTGGTCTCATGGAACAGAGCATTCCACCAGGTCGGAGCCACCACTGAGAAGGCCCTGGCCCTAGTGGAGGATAGTCTGACTTCCTTAGGGCCTGGGACCTCTAAACTATGGTTATTCATGGACCTTAAGGTCCTCTGCGGGGCAGACCAGGAGAGGCGATCCTGTAAATACAAGGGCCCTAAGCCACAAAGTGCTTTAAAGGTCAAAACCAGCACCTTAAACCTGACCCTGTACTCCACCGGGAGCCAGTGCAACTGGTAAAGCACTGGGTGAATATGCTCCCATGGCAGAGACCCCATGAGGAGCCTTGCTGCAGCATTCTGCACCCGCTGGAGTTTGTGGGACGGTTTGAAGGGCAGCCCCGCGTAATTACAGTAGTAATTACATGTGACCCTTCGGAAGTTGCCTGGAGCCTCCGGATGAAAAAGGCTCTCCACTACTGCCCTAAGGGGATAGTTCTGACTTTGCACATAAATAATGGTGGCGTTGTAGTCTTTCAGTTCAACCATTGCTTCTTGACACTTCAGCGAAGTGTGGCGTAATGGTTAGAGTGCTGGACTGGAACCTGGGAGACCAGGGTTCGAATCTCCACTCAGCCATGGAACTCACTGGTTGGCCTTGGGCTAGTCACCGTCCCTTAGCCTCATCTACCTCGCAAGGTTGTCGTGAGGATAAAATAGGATGGACAAACATGTACGCCACCTTGAGATCCTTGAAGAAGAGGAAGGTGGAATGTAAATGGAATGACTGAACGAATGGTCAAGGTCTCTGCTATTCCTCTCTTATGCAGATACAGTGGTACCTCTGGTTGCGAAGGGGATCCGTTCCGGAGGCCCGTTCGCAACATGAAAGGAACGCAACCCGAAGCGGTGCGTCTGCGCACGCGCAGGTTGCGATTCACCGCTTCTGCGCATGCGCGTGACATCATTTTGCACATCTGCGCATGTGCGAGCAGCAAAACCCGGAAGTAACCCTTTCCGGTAACTTCCGGGTCGCCGCGGGACGTAACCTGAAAGAACGTAACATGAAGCGGATGTAACATGCGGTATAACTGTATGTGTGTCTGGTTCAAACAAAAACATCCTGAAGGTCCCAGGCCACAGGGAGGTTAGGCTGGCCTCAACCAGAGCCAGGGCTTTTTCAGCTGTGGCTCCAATCTGGTGGAACACTCTGTCACAAGAGACTAGGTCCCTGTGGGACTTGACATCTTTCCGCAGGGCCTGCAAGACAGAGCTGTTCCACCAGGCCTTTGGCCAAGGCACAGCCTGACCCCCTCCTTTGGCAATCTTCACAGAACTTTAGCCTAATGGTTGCCATCAACTTGATTTGAATTAATTTTATAATGACATGATTTTAGAATGTTGTACTATTTTATTGTTGTTTGCTGCCCTGAGCCCGGCTCCGGCTGGGGAGGGCGGGATATAAATAAAATTGATGATGATGATGATGATGATGATGATGATGATGATGATGATTGGTATTTTTTTGCAGTTCCGAAAAAAGAAGGATCCAGCAGTCTTAATATTGTCACGCTCTATTCCATCGTCTCCAAAACAGCTGAAAGGCAGGAAGGTGGGAAGAGGAAAAACTGAGCAGAGAAGGGAAATGGTCTCAGCCTGAAGGTTATGGAAGAAGCAGAAAGGGAAACCAGGGACTCAGGTGCCAGAGCAAGACCTTGGTGGCCCTTAGATTTTATTGTTAACAGGAACAGACGAAGAACTTGCTGGATCAAGCCGATGGCCCTTCTAGTCCAGCACCATGTTCTCACAGGGGCCATCCTGATGTTTGTGGGGAAACCCGCAAGACGGGCCCGGGCCACAAGAGCCCTCTCCCTTCCTTTGATTTCCAGGAACTGGGATTCAGAAGCATGCAATTTTTGCACAACCACAGAGCCTAGGGCTTGCTGATCAGAAGGTCGGCGGTTCGAAACCCCACAACGGAGTGAGCTCCCGTTGCTCGGTCCCTGCTCCTGCCAACCTAGCAGTTCGAAAGCACACCTGTGGAAGTAGATAAATAGGTACCACTCCGGCGGGAAGGTAAACGGCGTTTCCGTGCGCTGCTCTGGTTCGCCAGAAGCGGCTTAGTCATGCTGGCCACATGACCTGGAAGCTGTACGCCGGCTCCCTCAGCCAGAAAAACGAGATGACCGCCGCAACCCCAGAGTCGTTCATGACTGGACTTAATGGTCAGGGGTCCCTTTACCTTTCAGCCGCTTGGAGAAGACTGTCCTTAAGCAGTGTGTAAACTGTTTGAATTTAAAAATTCAGTATTTTAAAAAGTTTAATTACAGTCCCTGGAACAGGGCACATTCTGAAAACATCCCCCCAGATGTTAAAGGCCAGGGTAAAGTCATGTTCCTTTGGCGTTCAGCAAGAGCTGGTATTGCAGTCCCGATTTTCCAAGGATGTCCCGATTTTCATTGAAGGCAATGCTGTATAGGGAAGATTCTTTTAAGTAGTATTTAATGCTTTATTATGTTTTTTTATATGTTGGAAGCCACCCAGAGTGGCTGGGGCAACTCAGTAAAATGGGTGGGGTTTAAACAGTAAGATAATCATTATGGAATGGGACGTCCGATTTTCATCGGAGAAATGTTGGAGGGTATGGGATTGTGAACTTGCAGGGGGGACGAGTTCCAGCACCCAGGGGCCACCAGTTAAAATGAGGTGCAGGGGTGGGAATTCAGTTCTGTTTGCGCTTAAAGGAAAAGGAGACAGGAGATCACCTGCTTCACCACCTCACTAAAAATCACTACTTTTGAATCAGCCTGGCTATAGACTGAGTTAAGCACTTGAAAAATCCATTGAAATCAGACATTATAAATTCATCTTAGGATGGGTAGTTCGCAAGTCTCTGTGGCTTTGCATAAGGTTTTGTATTTTTCTCAGAAGATTGATAAAGAATGCATAATCATTTTGGTAATTATTGTGTGTATATTAGTCACCAAGTGGGACGCGGGTGGCGCTGTGGGTTAAACCACAGAGCCTAGGACTTGCCGATCAGAAGGTCGGCGGTTCGAATCCCCGTGACGGGGTGAGCTCCCATTGCTCGGCCCCAGCTCCTGCCAACCTAGCAGTTTGAAAGCACGTCAAAGTGCAAGTAGATAAATAGGTACCGCTCCGGCGGGAAGGTCAACGGCGTTTCCGTGCGCTGCTCTGGTTCGCCAGTAGCGGCTTAGTCAGGCTGGCCACATGACCCGGAAGCTGTACGCCGGCTCCCTCGGCCAGTAAAGCGAGATGAGTGCCACAACCCCAGAGTCGGTCACGACTGGACCTAATGGTCAGGGGTCCCTTTACCTTTATTAGTCACCAATGTGTTGCATGAGTCGTACTACTGGCTATAGGCACATGGCAACTTGAGGAATGACGCCTTTGCTTGAAAACGGAAAGCACTGAAAAAGTTAAATGCAGTTCAGTAGACATTTGGTGCTTCTGTTGGAGGGGACTGCTGAATACGGATGGTTGCTTCTTGTACAATGAAGTTAAAACATTAGAAAATTTGGGTGAAGATGGGAGGAAGCATTCCTATCAAGGAAAACGTAGAATAATTTTCTGTTTTAACATTTTTCTTTTTCACTTCCAAGTGCCTTGAGAGTCCTAAGCCAGAAAGGCAAGTTAGAAATCATCGTCGTCATTATCATCACCGTCCAGAGATAGCAGCTGTTGCAGTACTTCAAAACTCTTCAACCTTGCGGTGTTTGTCCCTCTGATATGCAAGGCGATGGATGCCTCTCTGTCTTGCGTAGGTGATTTGACCCTTCAAAGCCCAAGGCTGGAGTCTGTAGGAGCCTGGATTCTGTGAGCTCAGAGAGGAGAGGACTTGAAACCTGGAAGCAAAGTTAGAAGAAGGGAGGCAGAGGAAGAAGAGGAGAATCTGCAAATAAGAACTCAGGGAAGAGGGAAGGTGGAGATAGGTTTATTTTATTCTATTAAAAAGTCTGTTTTCACTGCCATCTTAAGCTCCTTTACTGTTTAAAGGCACAGCATTCTTGATTTGTGTTTGTATGGACCATGCCCATTTTGTTTTCTGTTCGGATTGTTGCAATGCCTTCACCCACCTATGGCCAAAGCATAATAAACACAGCTCAGTTTTTAGCCTGGGTACTTTAAACTAACTTTCTTTCTTTCTTTCTTTCTTTCTTTCTTTCTTCCTTTCTTCCTTCCTTTCTTTCTTTCTTTCTTTCGTGTCGAGAGTGGATTTCATGCTCTGTATTCAGGTCATAGTGGTGAGGAGGAATGGAAGTTCCCCTGAAATGTCTGCTTCATATACATTATTTACACAGTGGGCCTCACATGATTGGCTAATTCTGGGATTCTCCTGTAGGCCAATCAGAATGCGGATTCACGTCCACCTGGAGTTGGATTGGGTGGCTCCTATGGACCAATCAGACTGCTGCATTCTGGATCCTATTGTTCCAGGACCAATCAGACTGCTGCCTTTTGGATCCTATTCAACTCAGTACATAACACCTTCCTTCCTTCCTTCCTTCCTTCCTTCCTTCCTTCCTTCCTTCCTTCCTTCCTTTCTCTCTCTCTCTCTCTCTCTCTCTCTCTCTCTCTCTCTCTCTCTCTCACACACACACACACCCCTCTTTAATTAACCCAGGATTCACCTCTTTTGTAACCTCATTAGCAATCAAAGCCAATAGGTAATTGAGCCGTACTTTAATTTCGAGAAAGAAGCCAGCTTGCGTTTTCCACAACATTGAGCAGAAACAGAAGACCTGACAGGTCTCCAATCTATTGTATTAGCAAGATTAGCGGGGGGGGGGGGGGTTCATAAGTGCACAGGGATGCAGAATTCCACCGATTAATATTCCTGCCTGGTCAGCATTAGCTGGCGAGTGCTGGAAAGAGGCAGCGGTGGCACAATGGGAGCTCCTGGACTCTGTTCCTTCCTCACTCATATCTCGCAATCCATAGCAGGGAGATCTTAGAACCTAGAATTGAAGAACTGCGAACGGCCCCCACCACCACAAAGAAGGCTTCTCAATAGCAGAATTGCCAGGCACACACTGTTGGGTCATTCCATATCAAGTGATCCAACTTTTTTACCTTGTGTCACCCAATTTTCTTAATATTTTTGTACACTTGTCAAATGATCTAAACTAAGTTTCAACCTAAAATTTCAGCAAGCTGTCAATCTGCTTTGGAACACATTTTTAAAAGAAAAGCCTGACTAGCTTTTCAGATAACTTTTAATTACCGTATTTTTCACTCTGTAAGACGCACTTTTTTCCTCCTAAAAAGTAAGGGGAAATGTCTGATCAGCAAGCAATCGGGAGGGGAGATATGGGACGCTAGAGATAAAGGAGGCTGCCTGGGAGGGGGGAGGTAAAGACAGCGAACTTGCAAGGAGAGGAGACAGGAAGACTAAAGAAATGAGGAGAGAAATTAGAAGAAAAGGAGGAGCGAAAAACTGTTCCAGCTAACTGGCGGAAATGACTGGCAGAATCCGAGACCAGGGAGAAGAGTCGGTGGAAGAAGATTGGAAGAAATTTAAAGACTATTTACAGAAATACTGCAAAATTGATGAATGTTAGAATGATGTTGGAATGAAGTTAAGTGGTTTTAGCAGCAATGTCACAAAGGAGTATGTAAAAATGGATTACTAACAGGGGAGAATCTAAAGTTATATTAAGATAAAGGATTAAGATAAAAACAAAGAGGGAAAGGATTTGCTGAAATAACTAACTGAACTGGAATACAAAAAAGGGAGGTGTGAGGAGGTCAGGGAAACAAGTAAATGAAGGATAAAACATGGAAAGATTGATTTGTTTTTAAATTGTTTTTATTTTTCTGTATTTTGTATTTTTTTTTCTCTTTTCTCTTTTTCTTATTTTTGTAACCTTTTCTGATACTTTAATAAATATCATTAAATAAGAAAAAAAAGAAAAACTGTTCCAGCTAAGGAAAAGACACTAAGGTAAACAAGAGGGAAGGGGATGTTGAAAGGAAGCAGCTGATCAGTAAGCGATCAGGAGGGAGATAAGGGACGCTAGTGATAAAGGAGGCTGCCTGGGAGGGAGGAGGTAAAAGCCCCTGGATCCTCAGGATTTTTGCATTGGGTCACCCCAAATTCACCATCAGATCACATAGCATGTCCATGGCTACAGCCTGCACCCAAAAAATCACACACCCACTGTTTTGTGGGGCCGCAATGGCGTAAAAACGTGGTTACAAAGCACGGATCCACATGGATCCTCAGGATTTTTGCATTGGGTCACCCCAAACTCACCATCAAATCACATGTCTGTGGCCACAGCATGAACCACAAAAATCATACATCCACTGTTTCGTTCAGAATATTTTTTTTCTTGTTTTCCTCCTCTAAAAACTAGGTGCGTCTTATGGTCAGGTGCATCTTATGGAGCGAAAAATATGGGTATATAACTTTCTAAAGAAATGCCTGATCTTATAGTTGGAAGTCTTGTTTCTTCTGTCATATTTTACTCCAAGAAGACCCATTTATCCTAAACAGAACCCAATAAGGCAGACATGTATGCACAAAATATTTTCCCCCATGTGATCCCATTGAGATCCCAAAATGAATTTTTGCAGGTGGATCTTGGAAATATTAAATAATACATATTTTGAATTTTTTGAATTATATTAATTTTTGTAATCACTTTTTAAATTTCGTAACTTAAATTTAAAATTTAAAGTAAGTCCACCATGTGACATATCATATTAAAGCCCATGACATTCTGAAGAGATTGATGTTTTTAGTTTTGACATATCTCAATGCTGGGCTGAGCTTTTAAGGCTTTTAGGGCAAAAATCGTCTTTTTATTTGAAATTTCAAACCCTCAAAGCTCAAAAACGGGATGAGATAAAAAGCTAACCTCTTAGATTTAAACTTGGTTTTGATCATTCAACAGGTGTACAAAATATTAATAAAATTGGATGACGTGAGGTAAAAAAGTTGGAGCACTTGATATATGGAATGACCCTGTTGTGAAATACAATGGTCGCCTTTCCGTTGCACATTTGTGCAAAACCCAGTTAAAACTATTTAGTTTAATGAATTCAGCAAAATTGATGGGCTTGATCCAGCTTTCCAAAGTCACACCTTTCACACATCCAGCTCCCGCTGCTGCCTCCTGTTGTTGTTGTTGTTGTTTAGTCGTTTAGTCGTGTCCGCCTCTTTGTGACCCCCTGGACCAGAGCACGCCAGGCACTCCTGTCTTCCACTGCCTCCCGCAGTTTGGTCAAACTCATGCTGGTAGCTTCAAGAACACTGTCCCACCATCTCGTCCTCTGTCGTCCCCTTCTCCTTGTGCCCTCCATCTTTCCCAACATCAGGGTCTTTTCCAGGGAGTCTTCTCTTCTCATGAGGTGGCCAAAGTATTGGAGCCTCAGCTTCAGGATCTGTCCTTCCAGTGAGCACTCAGGGCTGATTTCCTTCAGAATGGAGAGGTTTGATCTTCTTGAAGTCCATGGGACTCTCAAGAGTCTCCTCCAGCACCATAATTCAAAAGCATCAATTCTTCAGCGATGAGCCTTCTTTATGGTCCAGCTTTCACTTCCATACATCACTAATGGGAAAACCAGAGCTTTTACTATACGGACCTTTGTTGGCAAGGTGATGTCTCTGCTTTTTAAGATGCTGTCTAGGTGCCTTTTTAAGATGCTGCCTCCTAGTGCCCCAATATTCCCTCCCCCCCCCCCGAGGGGCAGTACCACCCACTTGGAGAACCACTGTATTAGGTGCTGGCATTTCAGGCCTATGACAGGGGTGCTTTCTGCCTGCCTCTCCATCCAACTCGCCCTCCAATAAACCATTTGCAGAGGCAGGGAAATGTTTCCTCCTGCCTTGGCTGAGAAGGGAGCCCAAACCGGCAGAAAAGAGGAGTTTGACAGCCGTTATGAGCCCCAGATCCCCAGGCGGGTCCAGCAGCCTGGAACAGGTTGATTGCCCCGAATCAGGATCTTCCTGCGCCGCCGTTCATCGAACGAGCTCTGGGAAGCACTTGAGCATGCTAGATGGCATCCGAGTCCTTTGTATTCGGAGCGTTTTGGAGCAGAAGGGGACCCATAAAACTCAACGCCACGGAAAGTGGAGAGGCGCAGAAATGACAACTCTTCATTGTAGTTTGGGGAAAATTTATGGGTCGTTCGTGGTGCGAGATGAGGCTGCCAAGTTGGGGGCTGAATTATTGGCTATCCAGGCTTATTTCTGTTGGGGACTGAATTATTTGCTACACATTATTATTTCTTTAACTGAGCAGAACCCGTTGCAAAGAAAGCAGCAGCGAGGCTTCGTTTCAAGACTCAAGGGAGGCCGGAATTCACACGATACAGTGCAAGCAGTCTACCCTCCGCTAATCCCGACGCACATGGGGCTAGAGGGCGGGATGTGGAAGCTAGGTACTCTGTGCATGCTCAGAGGCACTGAAGAACTTTCATTAATTATTCCCATTTATGACCTCCTCACAGATTTTCCTTAAAAAAGAAATGGATATGGCCAGCATGACTAAGCTGCTTCTGGCGAAACCAGAACAGCGCACAGAAATGCCGTTTACCTTCCCGCCAGAATGGTACCTATTTATCTACTTGCACTTTGACGCAGTATGGCCTAGTGGGAACAGCGGTGACGGGCAGAGGGGAGGCCCCAGGCAGAGATGCTCAGTTTGGCGGCCGCAAGGAGGATGGTGGCGGAAGGCCTGAGGCTCCCACCAGTCCCGGCGGGGAGGGGCTACCGGGGGCCGAGGCTGGTGAGAGGAGGCCGGAGGGGGGTGGGCCGGGCAGCGAAGCAACACAGTTGGAGCCTCCTTCCTCCCTGGCCGGCAGGGAGGGAGGGAGAGGAGCTGCTTCCTTTGAAACCCGGGATTTTAAGGGACATCCTTAAATAAGGGACAGCAGCGGGACATGGCGCTGGGATAAGGGACTGTCCTTCCAAATAAGGGATGCTTGACAGCTATGGAATTCACTTCCACCTGGAGTTGGATTGGGTGGCTCCTGTGGACCAATCAGACTGCTCCATTCTGAATCCTATTGTTCTAGGACCAATCAGACTGCTGCATTTTGGATCCTATTCAACTCAGTACATAACAAACTCCCATCCCTAATACAACCCTGGACTGCTTGTCTTC